TAATAATTTAATTAAATAAGACAGAATTAAAACTTTATTTTAAAAAAATAATTTATTAATATTTATCTAAAATATAAATCTTTTTATATCAATTTATAATATATATATAAATATAAATATGATTATTTAATAAAATACTTAAAAATAAATTAAAATATTATATTTTATTTTTATATTAAAATAACTAATATTAATATAATATAATATTAATATTAAAGTTTCAAGATATTTTCTTAAATATATATATAAAGTAATTATTTTTATTTTATATTAAAATTATTTTTAATTTTAAATTATTATTATTAAATATTTTAAATTTATCTTGATATTTTTTTATATTTTATATTAATAGTTTTAAGTATAATTAAAGTTTTTTATAATTATATCTTTTTATAATTTTTGTATAATTATCTTTTTAAGTTTTTTAATTATCAATTAAAAAAACTCTCTATAATTACATATTTCTTTAGTTATTTAATTTTGCTTTTTCAAGTATAATAATTATAAAAAGATCTAATTATATTTTATTAAAGATAAATAATATTTAAAATATATTAAATTTATTAAATATATATATTTAAGAAGTTTTGAAGACTAATAACTTTATTATATAAGTAAAAAAATATATTATTAAATATATATAATTAAATTAATTAATTATAAAAAAAAATAAAGCAAAGTTTATTAAATTTTCAAGTTCTATTTAATAATTTCTATATTAAATTCTTAATTTATATTTAAGTTATATTATAATTTAGTAAAAAAATATTATATTTTTATATTATTATTTTTTTAAAAATATTAATTATTTTTTTATTATAAATTATAATAATTTTTATTAATAATTTTTAATAACTTAATAATTCAAGTATTCTATATATAATTAAATAATTAATTATTTTTTTAACTTATTTAAATAAAAAATTTCAAGTTTAATTATAAAATTAAATATTCTATATTTAAAAAAATAACTAATAATATTATATATATTATCTTATTTATATACTAATTTTTTAAAAGTAAATATAATTAGATCTTTTTATAATTATCACATTTGAAATAGCAAAATTATATAATTAAAGAGAGATATAATTATAATTAATTAATAACTAAAAAATTCAAGAAATAACTATAAAAAAAGATAATTATAGATATATAATTATAAAAAGATCTAATTATATATACAGAGGATTATTAAAAGTTTTCGAATATGATTTTTGGAATGCAATTACTATACAAAAAAGATAATGTTTATTATATGAATATGATTTATTTTTATTTATTTTGTCTTAAAAAACATTTCTAATTCAATTTTTCTTTCTAATTTCAATTTTTTTTTATAAATTATAGCTACATCTGCAACAATGGAAAAAAATAATGAATTAATTATGGAACAACAAGATATTATATTTTATCTTCATAAAAATGATAATTATATAATCAGATTGCTGAAGCTGTTGAATATGACAAAACAACAGTTTATAATATATTAAAAAAGCATGCCAAAACTGGATGCATGAAAAGCAATTCTGAAATGTATAATTGAAAATTTAGTTGATAGTATGCCAGCATGAATTTAGGTAGTGATTGCAGTGGAAGGTGATCTAATTAAATACTAGTTTAATAATACAAAATATAGATTTTGATAAGCTTAAAATAAAGTTTTAATAAAGTTTTTTTGGCTAAGTTTTAAAAATTATATGTTTTATATTGCATAAAAATTCATTTAGAAACTTTTGATAACCCTCTATATTTAAATTTATATTACTTAAACTAATAAGTTATTTATATATTATCTTATTATAAGTTATATTTATATAATTATATTTATTTATTTTAATATTATTATAATATATTTATATTGCTTGATAAATATTTTTAGTATTGCTTAATTATTTTTAGAATTTAATATTATAATATTAGAAAAAGAAATTTGATAATCTATTTTTATATTTTTTTTATTTCTTATAAAAAAATTAAATTTTTCTTATATTTAGAAATTTTTTTTTTATAAAATTTAATATACTAATATAAAATTAAATATAAAAAAATTTTAAATTAATTATAATTTCTGAAAGTAAATAAAATAAGTAAAATTAAAAATATTATTATAAGAAAATATTCTTTTTTAAAATTAATATTATTAATAATATATATATTTTAAATATTATCTTCTTCTTATAATCTTTTTTGAGAATCAAATTTATCTTTTCATAATTTTTTAAATATCTTTTATAATAATAAGTATATAAAATAATATTAACTATATATAAAATTATATAAAATCAACTTGATAATTTTAAATATATCAAACTTATTATATATATATATATATAAGTCAAATATTAACTCCAGAAAAAGTAATTATAAGTAATATTAATATTAAAAAAATTTAGAATTTTATTATATATATCAAATCAAATTCTTTTAATTAAATTTCATATTATTTATATTTTTTTTAATTTTCAATTTTTTTTGAATTATTATTAATAAATTATTAAAACTTCTTCATAATAGCTGGAAACTATTATAATACTCTTCTAATAATTTTGAATTTTCAATAAAACTTTAATAAATTACAATATGTTTAAGTCTTTTAAAGTCTTTTTATATTAACTTTTTTTAATATAAGTATCATTTTAAGTATAATAAAGCTAGAAAGTATTGATTATAATAGCATAATAGCTAGAAAATTTTTATAATACTCTACTAATAATTTTGAATTTTCAATAAAACTTTAATCAATTACAATATATTTAAGTCTTTTGAAGTCTATTTATAATAACTTTTTTTAATTAAAATATTATTTTAAGTATAATAAAGCTAGAAAGTATTGAGTATAATATTTTAATTTTTGTATTATTTATTTTTGTTAAATTTAATATTATTTTGTGTAATCCGGATTTCAGTTAAATTATTGCTTATTTGGATAGATTCATCATTGTAATATATTATTGAAATATCCTATATTTAATTAAAATAAGATTTCTTAACTTTTATCAACAAAATTTTATCTCTAATTTATTTATTTTAAAAAATATGATTATATTTTTCAATGATAAAAAAAAGGTATAATATGATTTTCTTATTTAAATATTTATAATAATAATATTACCAATTTATTATATATATATTAGGATAATAGATTCAGAAAATTATAAGCATTTCAGAGAAGTCTATTCAAAATATGCTTTTAAAGAGTCAGAAAATAATGATGAAAAAATTAACAGAAGAAAATTGTGATTGGATACGATAGTTCAAATGGGTTGTCGGGGGAATCATCAAAAACTGCCCACTAATATCATTCGGGGAAAAGGGCTGTCAGGAATAGGTCATCTCTGACTAAAATATGTCATGCTGGGGAAATGCCTTGTCGGTGAAATGTGCTGTAGGTAGAATGTCATAGAAATGGTGTCGAGATATCTTTATTTGGCCACAATATCCCCATTGGCCGAAATACCTCCCTCTTTACCTTATGTTGAAATAATTATGAAATAATAATGATATAATTATGATTAATAATAAATAAACTAACTAGTTTTTTATTGATATAGATAAATTGATTGTATTATACTGTATTTATTTAAAAATTGTCGAATGTGACAGTTTAAACTTCATCCGCTTGGTAAAGGAAGGTCTATTTTTCATTAACTATATCAAAACCTGCGGCGAAAGATATTACCGTATCAAAGCTTGTTCCGAAAGCTATCTACCATTATGTAGTTCTTGTTGGAGTTGTAACATTCGTTTCGGTATTATTAAAAACGTATTTCTCGGCATTTGATTCGCGTTACCTTTAAGCCACTGTCTTTGGTTTGTGTGGCTTCATGGTCACTTTCCTGTGGATGGACGCTAAACTTTATATATTCGTGCTTCCTGAAACCGTTTGGGAATTATGCAGACCAGCGAAGCCGTTTAAACATGTTTTACAAAGGCCAGGCTGAAGGTGAAGATTCACGCGTTTATAAGTGACATTATAACAATTGTATTTTGTTGATGTAAATATCATTATTAGTTGACGATGCAACGCGTGGTCACCTGCTACGTTCACGGCTGGGCATCTTCGAAAACAAACGAGAAATACCAATTTGAGTTGATATTGGCGGCGGAACTGGTGTTATTAATAGGTTGGAATATCGAAAGGATGAATGACCTATTCTAATATATTTACCTAATATTTGAAGAATAATGGAAGAATTGCCCTGTATAAACCAGTGTTGGAAATCTCATTTCAATCTGGTGTTCTCATCGAGTACGCTAAATATACCTCTGCTGTTCTCTCAACAGTGAACATATTTGTTTTTCACCGAAGAACATGAGAACGCTGGGATGATCTGCATTATGTAGATCAATGGTCTTATATCACATGATATTTTAGTTATCACGATGCCACATCGATGTTTTTTATGCTTCTATAAAATAAAATTTTTTATCATTAAGGACCTATTCGTTGCTATAATATTGTTTTGGGATTCTACTATCACCAAATTCAGCGTAACTCTCCGGATTTTATACTAAAGTTTCAATATTTCATTTCTTTAATATCAATGATTGAAAAATTTTATCCAGTTATCGATCGCGTTGTTGTCATCAAAAATCTTTAATTTTAGAAATGCAATTCGTTTATTATTCCAAAATTTTGCTTTAACATATGTAAACAAAATCAATTTATTTTACATATATTTAAGGAAGTTATAAATAAAAATCATATTGTGATTCTTTAATAGTATTCGATATTTTTTTAGTTCAGTGGAATATATTACGATGGCGACGGCAACAAGAATGAATGAATGACTAAAGTTTGCTAACGAAGAAGCGAAAAATGACAATCAAAAAAACGAATGAATGAGTGAATAAAATCAAATTATACTTTGTGAATTGATTTTAAAAAAGTATTACTCGAATGTCTCTTTGTTCCACGTTTACATAATTTTGTTAATTAGATAAGGAATGAGGATTTTAGAGCAATTATAAGGGAATAAGCAAAATTTTTAATTTAGTTAGGCAAATAATCTTAAGATGGCTGGATCATTTAATAATCCAAGACTTCCAAATGTACTGCTACTTGATCCTGGCCCATCATTATCAATTGATTCACAATCGAATCTTAATTCATCAAGTCGAAAAGGAGAAGAGTTTTCATGCACAACTTTTCGTTTACCACGTGTTGACATTGCACGCTTCAAACTGCTACTATTACTATTGCTGCTGCCTGCATGAGAGAATGCTATAATGGAAGGTGAATTTTTATCAGAAATCGGGAATGATTCGCAGCACATGTATTTACATGGTGGTAATTGAGGTAATGCTGGTGTTGTCGTGAGAGTTATATTATTTTCGGAAGGCACTAGATTATTTGGAGTTTCTAGGTCTGAAACAGGAGTTGAAGGCGGAGCAGGAGGTTGTTGACGATTTACGATATCAACACAACGCCAGCAGTAAATTCCGAAACAGGTGAATAATGAACGAATGGATTCTCGCGTGGTTCCGAATATCAGGAAAAGACCCCACGCGATTAATGTGTCAACATATGCATCCATTGTTTGTGCTACTTTTTTTGTGAGATAATTTGCTGAATCATTCGGTAAAAAAAATTCGGCGGCCGGTTTAACTGAAAGAAAAGGTCGTGACTTGGAGATTAAACACACCCAATGAGGTAGACAATTTTGTTGCTTACCGGAAGTGAAGATAAATAGGATAAGATAGAGTAAACAGAATAAGACCATCCGAACACACAATCTAAGAATATAAAGAGGTCGTATTTCATTAAATCGATAAAGGATGACCATTTATGAAATGAATTTATTTAATACAATTACCCCATTGGGATTGCCAGGCTCTTTAGTGAATTTTGCTTTAAGAATCTTGTCCTATAATTAATCAGGGTACAAGACGCGTGTGCTTTATATTCAAATAAAACATTAGTTTTTTTGTATATTCATGACGTTCATACGCAAGATGCGCGCAATAATACATACTTCCCAAGCCAAGTCCAATAATTGCACATAGTGCAAATGGAATATTGTTCGTCACAATTCTTACGACTCCATCTTCGATGGAACAAAAGAATAAAAGTGAAGTGGATACACCATATGTGATGGATTGTTCGCGCAAGATAATGAATGCTGTGCACGTTAAAATAAGTGGTAATAACCACGCGAATATAATGTACACCTAATATTATTTTTTTTCTTCATGAGTTGAACACATCTTAAATGATTCACAACACTATTGGAAAAATTTGATAATAAAATACCTTAAACCACTTTATTTCTACATCACTTGCACCTTTCACTATCAACAACCAAAGGTTGATCATCAAACAAAATGTCCAAAATCCAATACATAAATGTGTAAAGTAAAGAATGAATGATTGAGCGATGCAAAATGATGGCGGTGAAGTATAGGTGGTGGTAGTAGTATTATCTTGAATTGCTGCTGCTATCGCTATTGAGCTATTCTTATCCTGGTTTGAGGAAAAGGGTTCAAATGAGATCGTATTAGTGGAGTTGGTGGTTGTGTTCATTGTTGCAAATTCCAATGTTGCCAATTCATCTCCATAGACTAAAGCCACGGATGTGCTGACGATACAATCGATGAATGCAACAAACCCGAGATTCGCTAGTGTATAATGTTTTCTTTTGAACGCGAATTGTATGCCAAGAAACAGTAAAAGAATGACATTTATTAGTTGGAAAATAAGCCATATTATTAAACTATCACTGTATGTGGTAGTCATTGTGTGTCTGAGCGTAAATGATGTGTGTATGTGTGTTTGATTATATTTTATTTAAGGGTGTTGTTTGGAATGTTTGATCGATGACGTGATCACATTCCTCTCTTATTTAAAACGGACAAGAGAAATCTTAGTATTTTTATTTTTTGGAGAATGCTGGTGTCAGAAGAGGATCACTATCCAAGATTTATTATACTTGATTTTAAAGCGAAGAAGATAGAGCGAACAAAGAAGAATGGCTATATAAACTACGAATTGAGGTAATGCATTTGCTTAATGTTATCAATGAATAAAATGAAAATTTTATTAAATTATAATGAATTCGAAATCTATTGGATATTCTATTAATATTTTCGTGCTTTTCTTAATACAGTCTGTGCGTAAGGCAGAAAGAGGTTTAAGTTTGTCCAGCAAAAGAGATAACGCGCGAAAACAGCACAGTTTGATCATATTCCCGTCGACTCTATCTTTACTAAATTTATCTTTACAATTTTCTCATTTACTTGAATCTAGCATACATGTAATTTCCTGTTCTACTTTTATGGTGATTTCCTTTTTTTAGAATTAATAGGAAAAACTAAAACAATAATAACGATAAGGGAACAGAGAATGAGAAACCGCCTAAACATGCATTACATGTATTTGTACTGCGAGAAAGATTGATTTGGATTTAAATGGTTTAGCTTTGAATGATAGAGAAATGAAATCAGAATTATGCACAAGATAAAGCATATCGATATAGATTCTCTTGACTAAGATTTCTTACGACAGTGACGACGATGATAGTCATTGTTTGTAAATTCTCTTCTTGTTTTCAGATTTCAAAGAACAATGATTTCGTGTTATTTTTTTCACTGGGGTTAACCGTCTATTTTTTTTTCGAATTTTAGTTTCTTAACTGAAACGACAACACTTGGTAATTATATTGTATTTTTTTTTTTTAGGTTGAATACGCGCGTTCTTCAAAAATCAATAAATGTTTATGTGTGTAATCCTCATTATAAATTAATTTAAGACAACGATTAGAAACAAAAACCGATCTGTTAAAGTAAATAATGAATAATATTATTTACGAGTACTGTAAAAAGTGACCGATAATATTAAATAATTTATGATTGTACATTAAATGTATTATCAATTGTGCATTGTATTGTCATTGCATCTACAGCTAACTAGCTTATTTTAGCTTATTAAAACGTATAAAGTTTCAAAATATAAAGTTTGTGAATTCTTTTTTTATCCTTTGTTTTTGGATAGTGCTATCCTTTGTATAAGAAGATCGGGCAACCAACACAAAGAACGACCGATCGATTACTTTTATTTGCTATCTATGCTTTTTATAACGATAATCTTTTTTTCTGAAAGGTCATTCATTAACGCACAGACCACAAGACACATACCGATATGCATCTTTTGTGAATTTATCATTATATTATTGATGGCATGTTTACACGAGGAGTCGTATTTATATACATGTAGAATGTACTTTGTTGCCGTCACGACGAAGAGTCCCGTGATTACGGAAATTCTTTTCTTGTATCCTTAATTAATACATCTATAATAAAGCTAATTATCAATTGAACCAACCAAAATTTTGCCAAATTCCCACAAAATTCTTACTTGTAACATCAACATTGATGTCTCTCCAAAAATTCCTATTTTGTGGCATCAGCGTCAACACTGCCTTCCCCAATAACACGAATTCTTTGAAAACATTCTTACTTTACGCTTCCAAGAATGTGATCGATTATCGGTGGCAACCATAGCATTTGCATCGTATGTTATTCTCTTGATCCGTAGAATAATTATAAACTTTTATCAAATTCGTATTTTGTGTGTACATAATAAATTTATTTTTTTACATAATTGTAATTAATTCTATTATTATTCTTTATAAAAAGAATTTCCTAAAAAATTCTTTGTACGTTGGGGCAGAAATTCTTGTAATAACTTTACAATCTGTAAGATAAATAGTTAGTTAATAACCAAATTGTATATAAAAGGAAGCCAGAGAAACAAGTCGATGTGATGTGTGATTTGAAGAAAAATTAATAGAAATTATTTTTAATTCTTATCTAACTTCACTTCAGCTTTTATTTCTTTTGCGTCAATAGCTTTATTTCTTTTGTGCTTAACAAAATTGAAGACTTACATGTTTGGCCATACGAAGTTGATGAATCATATTTTGATTTTATATTTTATTTATTTTGATATTGTTATTTATTATATTTTATTGTATTTAGAATAAATCCATTTTTGTGATTTTGAATAATTATCATATGAATTTTATTAGTGAATTGGCATAGATATTTTTATTATTTGAATTGAGATTATATTTTATTAACAATTGATTCTTACTTCTGTTATTTAAATTGAATATTATTATTTATACTTTATGAATTCTCTGTACTGTGTAGATTAACGTTGGAGATCTTTAGAATTCCAGTAAAACTACTCCAGTATTAGAAATCTCACTTCAATTTAATGTTCTTATCGAGAATGCTAAATATATTTCTGCTATTCTCATAATATATAGCTTGAAGTATTAGTGTAGTGAACATATTTGTTTTTCAATTGTTCTCACCGAAAAATTTTGTGTTCTTACAAGAATGCTGAGAACACAGATTTCCAACACTGAACAACTTTATATAAATCATTAAGTCTAGTTCTTAATTCTTGTTACATTTATAATTCTTTAGTTTAAGTAATCTCTGACTTAAATATAATATTTGATGTTCTCTTTATAAAATAATTTACTAATATCAAGAATACTAATATTTTAAAAAAAGTCTAACTTAGTTCAAGCATGAATTCTAATTGGACTTGAACTTGTATTTTGAATTCAAATTTGAACTTAAATTGGAAGAAAAATTCAAAAAATTTTGAATTTGAACACAAACAAAAATTTTATCTGATTTAATTTCAATTTGAGATCAACTTTAAGTGTAATAATAAAAATTATAGTATTTAATAGAAATTATAATTTTAAATATAGTTTGGTGCAAAAATATTCATATATCACAATAATCTCAATAAAATCAGTTTCTATATATAAATTTTTTTTAAAAAAAATAAAAAACTAATAGGTATTTGGATTTATTATATCATAAAAATTTTATTAAAATTTGTCATTATCATCAAGATTATTATCATTATTTGTTTTCTTATTCAATAAAATTATATTATTATCTGATACTTTATATTCTTTGGCTCTTGTAAGTGCTCTTTTCCATAATTCTACTATTACTTTTGATATTATTTTTTCTTTAAAGCTTTTAAAAGCTTTTTTCTAATATCTAAGAGATTTAAATGTGAACTTAATATCACTATCTTATCTTTTATTATCTAAATATTCTTAATTAACTAAAGCTCACAATAGTAAGAAGATATAAAAAACTTCATGACTATATTATTTTGCTATTTTAATACAAGCAAATGAAAGTTTTTCTTTGTTTTTTTTTATACAAATTCTAAAAGCTCAGATTTGTATAGTCTATTAGAAAAAGAAATTTTATAAATTATTAATCAATTAGCTATTTTCTTTTTTTAGAACTTAAGTTTGAAATATTTTTGATTCTTTACTTATAATAATATATATTATTTATATAAATATATACTTAACCATATATTTTACTAATTATTTTACAAAGTATTATAAAAAGATTTTCAAAAATATTAGCATTAAAGTTTTTATAATAGTTTACTTGATTAGAAATAATATTAATATCTTTAATAATATTCAGAATATTTTTTTATTCTTTAGCATTATATTATTTTCATCCTCAAGTTTTAGAAGATTTAATTACAGAATTTCAAAAATAAATAGAATTTGACACAAGCTTATTATGTATCTTATTATTATTATTATTTTAAAATATAATAATTATAATAAAAATTATTAATAATAAATTATGTTCTTATATTGAAATAATACTCTTGTAAGATATTCATATTTTTAGTAATATATAATATAAATAATATCAAGAAAAACTTTCAGAAGATATAAAATATTATTATTATTTTCTAAATTAACAAAATAATAATAAAGATAATAATAATAAAATATAATATTATTTGATAACTTATAAAGAATATTTTTTTATTCTTTTTATCTATAATAATAATTCAATTACTATAATATTTGAAGAAATTGTTACTTAAAAAGTATATACTCATATTTAAAAAAAATTATTATAAGAAAGATGTGAAAAGTTATTATTTTATCTTGTTACTATTTATAATGTGAGCTTATAAAAGTAATATAATATCTTTATCTAGTTAAGATTTAGATTATTCAAGATTTTTGATTTAATATAAATATATTATCATTATATTAATTCTAATCAGATAATATAATTCTAATATACTCTTCACAATTCTCAAAATTAGACTAACTTATTTATATAATAATATATTTGTAAGATTATTTTGTTAATAGTTGTAAATAAGATAAAATATGATATGAATAAGTTTTAATTTTATAACTTATGATT